CATCCCAGAGCATTATTGCTCGGCACTAATAAAAGCATGAGGCAGCCATGCAAAGTTTTTAGATTTTAAACTTACAAAGGAGCAACATTTCAAGTACCATTCACCTCAGAAGTCATACAAGCTTTTGTTTCACCATCTTGCTCACTAAAGGCAAAATTTTCTCTCTGTTTCAGTGTACTGTGGAACATGCTGAGGGTTAAAGTGATATTCTCAGCAAAATTTATCTCCAAATGATCCCATCTTTCATTTATGCAAGTCCTTGAGAACAGTGATGAAACAGGCCATGAAAAACCTAGCCTTATGGACATGAGCTCTTCCATCAGGCAATACTATGGGTAAACAATGGGCAGGAAGAAGAAGCCTCTCTCTACTGTTCTGCTAATGCTCCTCTAGGCTCTTCTACCTAAACATGCAAAAGAAAGAGATGCAGAGAAATGCCTGGCACAGAATTGGAACTATCACTCTAGTGCTTGAGATGTTGACAGCATCCAAGCTGATTAATTAATATCAGTAAGGCCCACTGAAAAAGGTTAAAAGAGCACTTTAACATACAGTGATATTATTGTGATCATTAGGATGGCATATTTCTATCTTTGCTAATGAATCTTCTTTTATCAGCTCAATAAACTGATGTAGGAGTGCAATTTTTCAATTACATTTTCATAAACAGATGGCAGAATTTAATAAATTAATGTTTATAATAATGGTACTGTTATGAGGCTTCTACTTTTATGTATTTTGCTCTGAAGCTTTTGATACTAAATCCCAATAATGTCAATCTCCTTAGTTCAGAGTAGCTTCATGTTCCTTGGTTGCTGTATAATGATCTCTGATCTCTCAATGTGAAGATATGGGTGACTTTAGGTAGTAAGCTTAATTTATTAAATAACAGGGATATTCATCTGCTTGTCAAATTTCATAGACATTTTAACAAAAGCTTAACCTCCCTGATGATTATTTTTTTGAATTAAAACATGCTGTTGCAGGGCAGAAACGATACTTAATTGCTATTGCAGAATGCATCTTTTGTTCCTAAATTTCATTCCTAACAGGGGCTAAATGATGCCCCATTTAAAACATTTTCAATTCACAGAGTCCACATGTGGCCACATCCTAGGATTGCCAGACACAGTGTATGTTTCAGAAAGCTAAACCTCATAAATCTCCAGAAATTCCTCACATCTATTATGTTTACCTTCTGCTGCTGATGAGCCTGTTGGGCTCTGTACAGAGGAAATTACAAGCACTCCAGAAGATTTGCCAAGAAGATGCTAGAAGAAACAACGGGCAAGAAAAAAATTCTTAACTGAAGCATCACATCCAGCTTTGGCTACCATTTACATATTTGAGATTACAGTTAGTAAAATGGAAATTCCATTGAAGTGGAATAAATTGTTTTCAAATATCTCTATCTGATTAGCATTAGTTATGTCTGAAATTTAACGTGTTAAGCTACACTCAGTGTAAGTTATGGACTCCAGCTGAAGTCTAACATTCAGACTGAAATTCTGCCTGTTTATACACTTTTCCAATTAAGAACAAAAGGCAGTTGTATCCTAAAGGTTTTTTTGCCTATCATCTTCTTGCTCATTTCTATTAATCTATATTACAAAATGTCTTCCTTTACTTAATAGATGTTTGCAGACTGTTGTAACAGCTGCTAACTTGTAAGGAAATGCCAGCAGAAATATTTTATGGTCACACGTTTAAATACCACTGGAAATTTGTTTATAGTTAATGCCAACTGAAACAGTTATGTTTTAGGCATAGTTTTCATAGTGATCAAAAATTAGCAGTTCAAAAATCTCCCCAATTATTTCATGGCAGGGCCAAGGGCCATAGAAAATCATATTAGTTAATGACAGGACGAAAATGAAGTTGCAAGTTTTATAATTTGTTTGCTCAATAAAATATTTGTTAACTGTGCTGCACATCTGCATGCACACATCCTTGCACAAGCACAAACTACCCTGAAATAAATACCTGGAGTCTGCAAATGCCATTGAAAAGGATGGAAATCTATCCTGCAATTACTGGCACAGCTAACGCCTTAATGTTCCCTCCCCCAGATCAGTGCTTTCCTACCCGACAACAGCAGGGATAGAAGGGCTCCAGCCCAGCCTGTGCTACTAAGCACCCTGAAGGATGAAGTCACAGGTGGGAATTTGTTTTTCAGAAACTTATATGTAAACAGTCTTACAGATCTAGAAATGGTTGCTCCCATCTCTACACAAAGGGGTGAAAGTCACAGCATGTCTTTCTTACAAAACAGAAGTGGAGAAATACTTTGGATTATGTATGAACTGCATGACTGTACACCCTCCAAAAGCAAATCATAAGAGAGAACTATCAGGTTTTGGAAACTAACCAAAGTCTGCTCTTAATCTGGTGTCTTAACCAGCTTCATAACCTTAAGAGTATTCCTGCTTTTAAATCACCCAGGACAAGTCTGTCTGGCTAGTGGTACAGAAAGATACAGTAAAATGGTAACCTGTGATACTAAAAAGCCAAAATATATACAAAGCCAATATATTAAAGTCACATCTGAATAGCTAAAAGCAAAATCCATTCCTTTAGTACAGTTAGAACAATGAACATGCTGTCAGTCATTTTTAACCAAAAGATCTCACAAGATGCTATTGCCAATTATTATAAATAAACCTGTATGTCTTGAATATTGCCATTACTGAGACTGACTACTGCCCGCTGTTAATTATACCCACTAAACAATA